CGAGCGATTCTGTGATTCTGTGATTCTCCTGACCAGATTCTCTTATGTATTGCACACAAGGAGGGTTTCATGTTTTAATACCTTTTTTTTTTTTGGATGCTGCATTAGTTTTTGAATTAGCAGAATGTTACAAGCGTAAAATCACCAGTACTCAGCAGAATATAACAGCAACATCTAATTGCATCTTAATACAAATGTGATTATGTTTACTGGTCTCTATAACATGCTCACGGTCACAGCACAGAACATCCCCAGTTGCTGGGAGAGGATACATGGGTTGAAGCCAGCTCAAATCTGTTGCTCTCCTCAAAGTTCTTTTTGTTCATTGTTCAGTTTTTGTATGCTCTGTTAGGCCGAGATGTGTATATACTTACCCAGTGCTGATCTGGCTAACTAAGGAACGCATGTATTTGCACCCTTTTGATTAATTCAAGGATGAAAAGTTACACAGCCAGTTGATTAACTTTGTAGCTGTAGCTTTAATTTTGAATCTATTTTAACTGCTAAGATGTATGCATATTGATGCATGGCCCGTTTGGAGCCATAGCTTCAGTTTGGATGGTTGCTGTAACATCTGCTAACAAAGAAATAATGAAGACTGGTCATCAAAAATCAAATCAAACGAACAGTTTCTAAGAGTCTGTAAGAAATAATGGACCTAATTAAACTGTCTCTGAGTTAATCACAGACTTGGCCTGGAAAGTAGAAAATCAGGTGTCCTTAGGCAAACTGACTTAGTTATAATACTAAAATATCCACCTACAGTCATTCCTGTTAACCCCCTGAGCTTCATGAGTATATCGCCCGTGTCTATTTCTGCCCTACCTTCTCCTGTTGTAGCAGTGCACTGTTCAGTCATGACATGCAGTGTTTGGATACTTTACATTTTAACATTCAAAAGGAAGTCTTTTGCAGAAGATGACTTTTTGGCATTGTATACACACTTTATTTTTCAATAATTCCGTCATTATTTATTTTGTAGGTCATGCAGGAGTGTCTGCCAGCATGATGAAGAAAAGAACTTCCCACAAGTAAGTTGTTAATATTTTTACTCAAGTATAGCTCTCAGTAACTGGAAGTACTGTTCCAGAAATGTATCTATATTGTTCCCCTCACTTTGTTATTGAGAATAGCGTGCAATAATATTCAGTCTTTAGATGTATGTAGAGTCAGACTTTTAGTTCTTCCTTTTAAAGAGTGCCCCACAAATAGAGTTTTAATCATCGTTTTGACTGTTAATATGAAATTATCCTTGAATACAATGCTGCAATTCTTTCTGGAATTCAGAGAGAAGAAGTTGTGAGCCAGAAATTAGCTACTTGTATTGTGTAATCTCTGTTCTCTGGCACAGAGTTCATGCATTGTCTCCAGGCCAGTAAAAATTGCAAAGCATGCTTACTGATAATTCAGTCTGGAAGTAATTGTAGAAATACCTAATCTTGCATTTACTACAACTGTAGTTTTGAAAAGGATTTTTCATTTTTCTTAAATAAAGAATATACTGAAATACTTCTGTCAGGAGACTGCTGGTTGTAGTGAAGGATACCTGCTTATCCTACAAGTTCATGGCATATATTTTTCCCTCTACTACACTTTCAAATAGCAGCAGCTGAACATTGGTGAGTGGCTGTGTGAAAATAGAGGTAATTTTCTGGGCATAATTGATCTTAGTGTCAAACACAGAGATATCACATCTAGCTAAATATCTGGTGGGTAAGTGTGGAACTTAATGTTACTAGTTGTATCTTAAGTGTAAAGTCATACAGTGGTTCA